AGGCGGAGGGGGAAGCAGGCTCCCTGCTGAGCGGAGAGCCCAATGCGGGGGCTCAATCCCAGGACCCTGAGATCATGACCTGAGCCAAAGGCAGAGGCTTAACTCAAGTGAGCCATCCAGGCACCTCAAATATGTAAAAATCTAAAAAAAAAAAGAAAAAGTAAAATAATTTTTACTGGACACCCAGTCCAAACCAACATCAATTCCAACAGAGATTAAAAAATAAATTCTCATTTCTGGCAGTTACAAGTCATTCCTAGGAAACTAATCACACACACACCTCCCAAGGTCAGGACTGCACTTTGCCTTGCATATGGGGCTCTACACAGAAGTGGTCCAAGGGTCCATTTCTTTACCTGAGATTCCTCTTCAATAAAATCCTCATGTTCCATATCATCAGATTCATCTTCCCCACTACTTTCACCATCCTCATCCAAAATCCATTCAGCTTGGTAACTGGATGTCCCTTTGGGAACTTTCTTTACCAACCTGGGACTTTTCTTCAAGAAGTCTGTAAAAGCCCACATGAGTTAAGCTTAATTATATGCCTCCTTTCTGCTACTAGGGTATTCTCACCTAAGCAAGATACTAGATATTGCTACCAACACCAGAAATTCCAACAGACTATGAACAGAACAGACTAGTTCCAAATTTAATTTGGCTGACTCAGAACTAGCAATACTTGAAAAAAAAAGGAGAAAAGAAAAAAGAGAGAACTAGAAATACTACACAGCTAAATAACTGCAACAAATTACAGCTGTTTATCTGTTTGCTAAGAAACAATAATACAAGGGGCACCTGGGTGGCTCAGTCGTTAAGCATCTGCCTTCAGCTCAGGTCATGATCCTAGGGTCCTGGGATTGAGCCCCATATCGGGCTCTGCTCGGCAGGAAGCCTGTTTCTCCCTCCCCCCCTCCCCCTGCCTGTGTTCCCTCTCTCACTGTCTCTCTCTGTGTCAAATACATGAATAAAATCTTAAAAAAAAAAAGAAAAACAGTAATACAAGTAATTTTGAAAAACAGAGCAACGCTGTGTCCAATGTTTGCTTGGTGCAAACATACAGCCTTTAGAGCTAAAAAGAGAAAAACTGACCTCCAAATAAATCCTCATCCCACTTTACCCTAACTGTGAGCAGCTAGAGAAAATCCGCAATTCCAGGCAAGATGAATTACAAACAAGTTTGCCAATACCAACCATTTGCCTCACTCAGCTCCTCCTCTGTGGGCCAGGTCTGCTCCCCCTCCATTGGATCTGGGATAACCTCTGTTTGCAAAGACTCTTGTTTATCAGGGTCTGCCTTCATTAGGACCTTAAGGTCTTCCTCCATATTAGCTATAGCATCTGGAGTGCAAATCTAAAAATGAAAATAGTTGACTCCAATCAGACATTACCCAAAAACCTACCAAATCTAATATAGTAACCAGAAAGATCCAAAAATAACATAGTTCTCAAGTAAAAAAATGAAACAGACTGAAACGAAAGCCAAAATTTGTCAAATGTTTCAAACATTCAATTTCCTAGCATTTTAGGTCTATTTTGCTTGCTTTTGAGGCCTTTCACAATTTGGTCTCACTCCTATCTATTTATTACATACCTTACCCCCTTCAAGCTGATTCTTCAGAGTTCAAAGAAACCCTCTGATCTGTCACTGTGCCTAGGTTCATGTTGTTTCGATCTTCTTCGATACTGTTTCATCTCTGTTCAACTGACAAATCCCACTCATCCCTCTCAACACCTGACTCAAGTCTGATTTCTTCTATGAAGCTTGCTAATCTACTTTCTCAACTTCCACAGCAGGTCTATAGCTTAACCACACTTTTTCAATCTTTATTTCACAGTTGTTTGCCTTTCTTTTCTATCTAATTAAGTGGTCCAAGGAGAAAGACCACATCTTGTATGTCTTGTATAAACTCAAAGCCAAATGCTGTGCAAGGCACCTATAAGTGCTGGATAAATACGTGATTATGTCAACATGTTCATAGTTGACAACTGCCTTATTTCACACTAGCAGTCACCTCCAGAGACCAGTACAGTTCTCTGACATTAGTTCACATCCTACACCAGGTTACACATGAATCTACAATACAAAAATCTTTAAGAACATCAGTCTTACCTCCATTGCCATGCTTGGGTCCTTTTGGGATTTCATCATTCTAGGATTTAAAGGGAAAGGGTCCATAGGGGCATCTATCTGTTTCATCTGGAAATCACCCTGTCCAATGATATGCAACAAGCTATTTACATTCAGAGCCTGCCCACGAACATAGCCTGAGATTTTCAAAGTGCCCACCAAGTTATTTTCTTCACTCGGCACAAAGTCAGCAGCATGAGCAAACAGGTATGCCCGTCTATCTCGAAAGGCAAGATGCCGTTGCTTTTGGTTAGCCAACTGCCGGAGCAGCATATCTGCCTCCTGTTGAGTGTCTAACAGGAGAAGTTTGTCATCAGGAAAACGCTTCTCTACTGTTTTGGTTAGCTTCCTTCTGGCATCTATTTGTTTCCTTGGTGGAAGGCCAGAAACACCCTGGACAGCTAGTGCTGTGAACAAGAAAGGGTTTTGTTACCTGTTGTTTTACTACATGTAAATCCCCCCGGTAATTCACAAACAGTTCAGTTGTGAGCCCAGAGATCACTGAGAAACCCAACACTCAACTATCCTAAAAAGTTTTTATAGTGAAACAAAAGACAGTCCAGAAACAAAAAGGGACCTTGATAGATAATTTCTAAGGGATGGACCAAATTTAGGCCATACATGTACAACCCACCATCAGCCAAATACAACCCACCAGCTATACTATTATATCGTATTGGACATAATGCCTGGCAAATTATAGGTGCATGAGAAATGCCAATTCACTTCCCTCCTTTGCCTCTAATACTACCACCTCACTTACTATACGTGGGAAGGCCCTGAGCAAAGAGGCAGGAAAGGCAGTAATCCCCAGTGCTGTCCCAGCCTTCTAGTGGATCAAGGAGGAAAAGGATGGTATCCGCGGCTTTGGCCATGTCTAAAACAGTGTGCAGATCTCCTAGACATATAAAACAAAGTTGGTGGGAAGCAGTGTTTGACACCAGCACATTATACTATTAAGAATATTACCATTACTCAAAACAAAACAAGAGAAAATACAGTTGTATGCTCTAACCTGGCCTTGCAGATGTGAAAAACCACCGATGTTTCAAGCGGGGGCATAACAGCATAAAGCTATGAGTGCTTCCCCATTCATTCAAGTGTACTGTTCCGGCGTCCTTATCCTGAAGCAACCGAAAGGCCTCTGGCAGGGAAATCCTGTCATGCAGGGGCACCACCAGTACCTGATGAGGAGGACCATCCTTGCAGCCCAGCTGTCTCTTCTCAGCCAGAACCTAACAGAACCAATCGATGTATTGCCATTCCCACAGTATGGATGCCCCTTCCTCACCCCAGACTCCCCACTCCCAGCCCACCGCATTTTCCTTGTAAAAAAGCACGTATGCCTGGAGAGTGGGCCGGAACTCGGACCAAGGCAAAGAATGCCTTAGTGTGCGCATAGATCTGCACGCCTGACACGTGATATCCCCAGCCCCCTCCTAGGGTCACATTTTTTAGTTCGAGGCATTATCCGCCTAGAACACTTGTGAAGCCACACCACTCCCCAATCCTTGCTCCTCTCACCGCCTCCTTCTTCTGCTTTCGGAGTTGGCTCGCGCGATGCCTCTGGTCTACTCTGCTGAGCTCTTTTCTCACCTTCTTGCTTAGGGTTTTCAGTGCTAGACGACCTAGAATAAGATCAGTAAGTGATCTTGTGCAAGGTACCAAAGGGTCAAGAAAGAGGACCCTCTCCGCCAACTTTAGGGCCTCAGCGCGGGGTCCAGGCCGCACGTAGGAGCGCAGTCTGGACATAAAGCAAAGCAATTAATATAGACTAAACAGCCCTTCTTCCTCCAAACCTATCTTCTCACCCTTGCCGTCCCGCTGCGCGGATCCCCGACCCCGATGGCGCCCGCCCTTATGAGCTTTATTCTGCTGCTTCAGCGGCCCAGAACGGTGAGCCGCCATGCCGCCACTCACGTGTACCCAGTCAGCACTAGTTCCGGGCCGGACCAAGCGCTTCCGGTCCCCTTCTGGGCCGCCCTCCCCGTGGCGGGGCGGGGCTCACCATTTCCTCTCGCGAGAGTTTTCCCCACCAGGCTCAGAGTGTGAGACGCTAGCATTTGTGTAAAACCGACGAGCTTTAACTTTTCCCGGACCGTGGTTTGCGGCTGGGGACCTTGAAAAATCGCATGTAGATTCGAGGTTGGGGCTCTAGGTCCTGGAGGGATTTTTTGCTACATGTATTTTCATTTTTTTGCGTTATCAAGTTGTATCACTTAGGAAGCTGTTGAAGTTTCTCCATTCGTGCGAAAGAGGGCTAAGACCCTCCTCTCACCTAGATTTTTGCACGTAGCTCCTCAGTTTGCAGCAGCAGCAGCAGCAGCAGCAGCAGCAGCAGCAGCGTTATAATTTTGAGCCACCCTTTCTCTTGGGGGACTCAAGGCTACAAGGCAAATCGCGTGGCAGGCACTTCTCTCACCTTCACGTGCTCCGTACAAGTTCCCGCTGATCTCAGTTATTCCAATCTGCGGCCCCACCTTTCACATAGCTTCAGGAAGGACGGGACAGAGAGGGAGAGTTGGCCTTGACACTCGAGTCCTCCGGGGGATTTAGAGGAAAGAGGGAGCTCTGGCCTTTCAGCCAGGAGAATAACGCTGGCTTCCCCGTAGCCATACTCGAGGCGCGAGGGACCCCGGTCCTCCCCGTCGGGAAGACGAGGGAGTAGAAATCCAGGCGCGTCTAGCTGGGTTGAGGCCAGCTCCGATGTGAGCAACTTTCCCGCAGCGGTGGGGTCCGGGACGCGCCAACCACTCAGCGAAGCGCTGCGCGTAACTGGCTGCAGGCGTTCACAATGCGAGTTCGCACCTTCGGGGCGGGCGCCAGCGCGTTGCCATGACAGCGGCACGCGAGGCGCGCGCCCGGGGGCCCGCCACCCCTAGGCGCGCGCGGCCTTCCCCCCGCCCCGACCCCCCCACTCCTGGTTGCAGAGCGCACCCCCGCCCCCGACTGTGGGAAGGGGCCGGGCCAGCCGCCTGACGTCTGTGCGGGGTTCGGAAGATGGCTGCGGAGCCCAGCACCGGGCAGTGGCTGCGGCGGCGGCGGCGGGCTGGGAGCGCGGCAGGCGGGGGCTCCGCCTAGCGCGTGGGGCGCTGAGCGGAGAGGCGCGGAGGCGACGAGGGCGTGCGGGGGGCTTGGGGGGGGCAGCTTGGCGTCGCCTCCCCGCCACCCGCCGCACCATGGGCAGCGCGGAGGACGCAGTCAAAGAGAAACTGCTGTGGAACGTGAAAAAGGAGGTAAAGTCGGGGCAAGGACCCCTTGGAGCTCGCGTCCCTGCCCGCGGGCCCGGGAGTGGGGGGCCTCGAGAAGGTTCTCGCTTCCCCATCCCGGGCGCGAGCGCTCACGGCCTGGTGCCCGGCGGGGGCGGGGTCCTGGACTGGCTGCGGCTCCCGCCTCTCTCCCGGATATGGGGACAGCACCCCTCGGTCCGAGGGGCCAGAGCTGCGCTCCGGCGCTTGTTTGCTCCGCGATCCCGCAGTTCCCCGCCCTGTGACGGCAACAGCCCTGGGAGACCAAGGTCGGGGGAGGGGCGGCGGCGATTTCTTGGAGAGGTGGTACGGACCATTCATTACCGGTGCCGCCTGGGGAGGGGGCGGGGCCCCGCGGGGGCCCCGGAGAACGCGAAACCAGTGGTTTGGGGGCTTAGCTCCGGTTTGCCCAAACCCAATTCAGGGATCCCTCTGGGAAGTGAGTCGCGGCTTCGGGAGGGTTCGTCGCACACCTCACTGCTTCTCACTCCACGCCCACCTCCCTCCCCAGAGACCACGGGGGGGGGAGGCGGGTTGTGAATGGTTTTTATGGCTCAGATTTTATCCCCGCTTGAGGACCCCCCACCCCGACACCAAATGTCAGGAAGAAGGGAGTCCTCCCCTCTACTACTGTCCTTTACGTTAGCCCTGCCCTAAAGCCCATTTCAATTTCATTGTGTGTGGGGGGTGGGGGGTTACCCATATGAATGACTCACCTAGTCTCAGAGCTGGAGAGCTCAAACCTGCAGCGTGAATTAGAATGGATTAGGCCTCTGGAACCATGAACTCTCCACCTACCTTTGTGGCTTCTACCAGATGTGCAGTCTCCATGAGGGCAGGAAACCCGTCTGTTTTGTCCTGTTCTGTGTCCAGGACCTGGCACACAGTAGGCCTTCAATGAATATTTGGTAAATATCTTGGAGACTGCAAGATGGTGGGCATTCATAACCTTGGAATACTCGGAACCTAGCTCTGTGTGATTGAATAAGTTACCTAACCTCTTTGAGTTTTAATTTCTTCATGTCTAAAAGAAGGACATGTACTTCATATCTAAAAGTTTACCATATTGGCTCCTTTACCCTTTCCTAGAGTTTCAGGATTAGAGAAGACTCTGGGTTCTCAAACTTCTGGAAGGCTCTGGATGGTTCTCCTGCATTAACTATGGCCTGTCTACTGTGCCCTAACATTTATTTGTTCCCCTCTCTCTTGTTTGAAGAGGAAATAGTTGAAGCCATCACCTTTTCCAGCTCTGTGTGAGAAGCTCCCTCGTGACTTTCCTGTGAAGTGGCCAAGAAAGTATTTTAGGCCAGGAGTATTATCAGATCAGCATTTAAACCCCAGGCCTGGTCTCCCCAAGGAAAAGGGAAATCCCAATTCTCAGCTTATCCTAAGGAAACAAGCAATCTAGTGACAGATACTCATATGAACAATATAAACAAGAACAAAAAAGTAACCTTACCCAAACTACGGACGTATGTGCTAGGATTGTTGGTGTGATCCAAATTTAGAGTTGATCAGTGATGTAGGAAAGATTTCCGAGAAGACCGTGATTCTTTTTTCAATACTTAGAAGGCTCTTTATACTACTCCAAGAATGATCCCTAAACAAATGTGAGAAATATCCAAAATATGTCATAGCTATGTGTATTACCTGACAAAGTTTAACCTTCTCTCAATTCTTAGTTCCTTTCTGCCTTCAGCACCTGATTTAGAGGGAAACATATCCTTTCCTCTTCTGTGAGTAGAAACAGTGGGGAAAATTTTAGGCAAGCCTGGTCTCTCAACACAAAACCTCTGGTGTAATTCTTGAGTAATCTGTAGGTTCTTCAAACCCCCAAATCTCCCCTACCCTCCTGTTTCAGATGCCTGCAGGTGTTTGAGCTGTGACTTTATGCTCTGTTTAATACAAACACTCCTTGGGAAGAAATCTAGGAAACTTTTAGCAGTTTAGAGTGCAGGATCAATCTGATTTCCCTCTACCTCACTGCTAATCATTAGCAGTTTCCAGTAGAGAGAAGCCTCCAGGTCCTTCCTCTCTCCTCCCCAGGCTTTAGAAGCTTTACCATTCTCCAAACTATACAGTCCTAGGTGAGGGCCTTGGGAATGAAGGCAGCATCAAACACTGCATGCCTTGTCCAAAGAATGGCAAAGACACCCACTGCCCAGAGCTTACTTGATCTGTAAGATTTTATACTAGGATTGAGGTAATCCATCCCTCTAATCTCCTGTATTAGTAGCTGTCTCTTGGCAGGTTCCACCAGGACATCAAAAGTGCTTGACCTGGGCGCCTGGATGGCTCAGTGGGTTAAGCTGCTGCCTTCAGCTCAGGTCACGATCTCAGGGTCCTGGGATCGAGTCCCATATCGGGCTCTCTGCTCAGCGGGGAGCCTGCTTCCCTCTCTCTCTCTCTCTCTCTCTCTGCCTGCCTCTCCATCTACTTGTGATCTCTCTGTCAAATAAAATAAATAAATAAAATCTTAAAAAAAAAAAAGTGCTTGGCCTAAGTTTTGGGAGCAACTAAAACCTCATACATTGCTGATGGGAGTGTAAATTTGTATAACTACTTTGAAGAACTGTTTAGCAAAATCTAGCAAAGTGGAATATAGGTATCAAAGGCCTTGTCTAGAAATATAAATCCAAAGAAATGAGCACCTATGTTCAATAACAGACCTATCTGTAATGTTCATGGTAGCGCTGTTCATGGGAGCCCCAAATTTAAAACTACCCACATGTCAGTCAGTTGCTGTGTGTTAACACAATAGAGAATGAATACATACAACATACATACATACAACATGAACGCATCTTGCAGTTACACCAGAGAGCAGAAGAAACCCAGTCACAAAACACTACACACTGATTTCATCTATAAAAAATATAAAAAACCCACAAAAGGGCTGTATGATATAAGAAGTCAGGATAAGCAGATATCCTTGAGAGTAGTGACTAGAAGGAAGTATGAAATTGGTGGGTGCTTGGGGGTGCTGGTCACATGTTCTGTTTCTGCATCTGTATATTGGTTTGACAGGTGTGTTCAGCTTGTGAAAATTCATCAAGCTATATAATCATGATACATACTTTTTTCTGTAGTTTTACTATCCGTCAATAAAAAGGCTGTATGTGTATATGGTTTTTTTAAAAAGTGCGTTCTTAAAGAAAGATGTGACTGCTCATCTTAGAAGGTAACTGGAAGATTTTATATCCGGGTAGGAACCCAAAACATCAGGGTTTTATTGAGACAGAAAGAAGGCTGGGCTTGCCAGCATGTGGAGAGTGTCTCTGAGGCCTGGATGAACCTCCCCCTAACCTTGGAGCAGAGGAAGTAAATGAGGGGCAGGTTGCTTATCTACACCCTGTAGTGAGCTAGCTTGTCCCGAAAGGAAAGTGTGTCTGCCCAGAAGCCCTTCTCCAGCTAAGTACAGATGAGCAAACAGCATCCTCTCCTCCACAGTGGGACACTTCCTCCTGAACTGCACATCTGCATTAATTGCTTGGTGGACTTATGACATCTCTTCCTGGTTGCCTTTCCAGAAAGACACTTTGCTTCCACATCTCTTCCATCCCTACTTATTCTCCACCCTGCAAGTATCCAAACCCAAACCGGGAGAGCAGGGCCGAGCTATTTACTTGCCCACAGGTCTCGGATTAGAAAAATAAATAAGATGCTGCCCATTTGTCCACAGGTGAAGCAAATCATGGAGGAGGCTGTCACCAGGAAGTTTGTGCATGAGGACAGCAGCCACATCATTGCTCTGTGTGGTGAGTGACTGGGGGGCTGATGGGAAGTGGATTGAGAACTGCAGAAACTGTTCCAGGGCAAGGAAAGAACAGTCCTCAGGTTTAGTAGTTTTCAGATAGGGCTGCAAGTTAGAATCGAACTCTGAAGCATTTGAGATCTCCCTGGGCCTGGTCCCCGACCTACTGAATCAGGATCTCTAGGGCCCAAGGATCTACATATATCTGGTTCCTTTGATTTTTTTTGTGTGCATCAGAGTCACCCAAAGAGCTTGTTAAAACACAGATTCCTGAGTCCCAACCCTGGAATTTCTGATTCTGGTAGGTCTGGGCTGGGCCTGAGAATCTGCATTTCTGACAGAGGGTTCTGATGCTATTGGTCCATGGACCACACCTTGAAAACCACTGACCTAGAAAATTCTCGTTTGGGAACCACTGCTCTGGTTTGTTTGTTTATTTTTAAGATTTTATTTATTTATTTGGCAGAGAGATCACAATTAGGCAGAGAGAGGGTGGGGAAGCAGGCTCCCTGCTGAGCAGAGACCCCCCCTCACACCCCACACCCCCATGTTGTGCTCGATCCCAGGACCCTGAGATCATGACCTGAGGCCAAAGGCAGAGGCTTAACCCACTGAACCACCCAGGTGCTCCAGCTCTGGTTTATTTTTACTTTAACTTTGCAGAAAGGGTTTGTGTTTTGGGGTGCTTTCTGTGCACATCTATATTCTAATTAACCCCACCTGTGTTGCTCTGGCATCCCAGCTCTCCAAGCACTGGATTGGGTGCACAACAACATGAACTACTATAGGAGGGAAAGCCAAAAGCCCTCCTGCCTCACAAGGGGAAAAGTCCGTAATGAACCATCCCTTGCTGTGAAGACTCCTGCCTTTGCAGGGCAAGCCTTTCTACATACACTAGAGTTTTCTTGGATTTCCAGGAATTCAGGCTTCCTTTCAGCTCTCTTTCTGAGGGGACAGCTTGCCATCTCTGTGTTGTTTTCGTTGGCCTCTGAGATTGGTGTTTGAGATTTGTGGAAGGGAGGTTGTGTATTTCTGAGAGGAAGGAATGGAAGGACCAAGTAAGGGAAGGAAAACTGTTTGACAGTACTGTGGTGAAGCAGATAGAGCTGCCCACCATCAGTCTAGCAACAAATCTGAGGGTCTGCCAGGAGCCAGATCCTGTTCTCCGGATGGGGAAACAACAGTAACGAGGTCGACAGAGTCTCTGCCCCCAAGGGCTTACATTTTGTGGGGAGAGAGAAAACCAAATGCACACATAAATATATCCTGTAATAAAGGTATGAAGAAAAATAAAGCAGAGAGGTGAGGGAGAGCAGCTGGGAAGAGATGGCCTGTGAGCAGAGCCTGAGTGATAGACTGAGGAATCACGTGAATCCTGGTGCTCTGCTTACTTATGTCATCTTGGACAAGTTTCTTAACTTCTGTCACCCTTAGTTGACTCCCCTAAAAACAGGATGATGATTCCCATCTCAAGGAATTTTTATGGGGGTTGAGACGATGCATGTGAGCGTTTCTAGCGTGGTAAGAGCTCAGGAGATGTCTGTCTTTCCTTCTCTTTTGGATGTTGAGGCTGAAACTGGGTTTGGAGGATTTGAGTTCCCACAATCTTCCCTTTGGGTAAGTTTCCCAGTTCTTCGAGATGACGTTGTGATTCCCAGGTTTATGAGGAGCAATCTAATCTCACCTTTTCTCAGACAGAACCTATGTTAGGGGAGAAGCATGATAGTCTTGCAGTAAGTGGCTTTGAAGAATATTTGAACTCTACTCCTTTCCACCTGTGTTGTGTGCCCCTGACATCAGCCACTTTCTTTCATTTTCACCATAAGGGCTCTGCTGGTGGCCAATTATGCATGACTTAATTCCTTATCCAGACCACATACAACAAATACAGACAACAGAATAAAATAGCGCAAACAGCTTGTGCATGGGCGCCACACGTGGGTGGCCAAGGGGGACTAGGGGAAAGAGAGGCAGGGAGAAGAGTTGTGGGTATCCCACATTCAGGCCAATTAGGATGAGCAGCAACTGTCAGCTCTCCTCTGATCAGTACAGGGTCCCTTTTTTAAAAGATTTCATTTATTTATTTGGCAGAGAAAGATCACAAGGAGGCAGAGAGGCAGGCAGAGGGAGAGGGGGAAGCAGGCTCCCTGCTGAGCAGAGAACATGATGTGGGTCTCCATCCCAGGACCCTGAGATCATGACCTGAACCAAAGGCAGAGGCCTAACCCACTGAGCCACCCAGGTCCTCCTGCACCTTGATTTCTCTGTGGTTTCTTAAATCCCCAGGTGTAAGCTGATGTCTCCTGCCACTGCCTGCCCCCCGGAGCAAGGGGCTTTCAACCTCTTTTAAGTTTTATTTGATAAGTACCCCATGTAGGGCTCAAATGCACAACCCCAAGATCAAGAATCTCCTCTTGAGCCAGCCAGGTGCCCCGGGTGCTTTCAGCTTTCGCTTTGGGGCACCTCAAGGTTAGGGTTAAGCACTAAACTGTCCCAGATTTTGCTTTTGAACTCTGCATTTGTAATAATAATATACATGCTTAAAGAGGACGTGTTTATTGTCCCCGTCAGGGATCTGAGGGACTTCAGGCATCAACACTTGAGCACGGGAGAAGCCACCATTTCTCTGAACCTGCCCTTCCTCAGGCTCCCGGCTGGGTGTGGCTGCCTCCACAGTATTTCTGTGTGCTCTGTTCTGATTGGCCACCGAGTTTGGATTTTAACCTTTGCTGGGTAGAACAGGTTTCTGCTGGCCTGGTACAGCAGGTTCTCAAGACTCTTAATGTCTCCTCAGCACAGAAGGCATTTGGGGTGGGGGGTGCCCTGGTGGCTCAGTCTTTGGGCATCTGCCTTCAGCTCAGATCGTGATCTCAGGGTCCTGGGATCAAGCCTTCACATTGGGGCTCCCTGCTCAACAGAGAGCCTCCTTCTCTCCCTCTGCTGCTCCCCCTGCTTATGCTCGGGCTCACATTCTCTCTCTCCTCTGTCAAATAAATAAATATGTAAAATGCTTTAAAAAAAAAAAAAAAGAAAGAAAGAAAGCATTGGGGGCAGAGCCTAGGCCCAGCTCAGCTTTGCCCCTCTGTGACCAGGGTCCCCGCTCTCCCGGCACAGATCTTAGTGTGAGGATTGGTGCTTCAGGCTGAAGATGAGCCTAATGGGAGACGGGGTGGAGTCTGTGGAGCCGGGAGCGGCACCAGGGCTTTATTAACAACCGGCTCCGGCTCCCCGCTCCCCGCTCCCCCGTTGCTAAGCAGCTTTCATTAGCCTGGAAGGTCGGCCGGCTGTGGTGAACTCCTCTGGGCTGTGGTGAACTCCTCTGGGGAATGGCGACACTAACGAGCTGGGAGAGAAGCAGGTGCTGCGGCGGGATTGCCTCTCACCTGAGACGCCACAGCCAGAGCTATTTCAGCACACGCTGAGATTCAGACTCCAGGCCGTTTTTAGTCTGTGAAAGGGATTCCTTCTCTCTTCTTCCCACCCAGACTGAGTGAACAGCTCACTCTCAGGGTGTCTGGCTTCTGCCTTCCATCTGCAAAAAATCAAGTAGGAAGGAATGCCCCCCGGGAAGGGATTCCTCTCCCATGCCTTGGGATGAGGCTGAGGGCCTGTGGTGCTGGTGGTCTGTAGCCCAGACACAGTGGTGACCATGGCCAGTTACTCAGCAGCTCTGAACCCACCCCAGGAGGCTGATGGGAGCACTAACAGAGTGACACAGGGAAAACACACAGCATGGAGCCAGGTATGCATTAGGTGCTCAATAAATGTTGCTCTTATTATCATCATCACCACCACCAGCAGCAACTTTCTACTTTATTCCTCAAAATGATCCTACAGGGTGGGGGGATGGATGAAATAGGTGAAGGGGATTAAGATCACACTAATCGGGGCGCCTGGGTGGCCCGTCGTTAAGCGTCTGCCTTCGGCTCAGGTCATGATCCCAGAATCCTGGGATCGAGCCCCGCATCGGGCTCCCTGCTCAGCGGGAAGCCTGCTTCTCTCTCTCCCATTCCTCCTGCTTGTATTCCCTCTCTCGCTGTCTCTCTCTCTCTCTGAAATAAATAAATAAAAGTCTTTAAAAAAAAAAAAAAGATCACACTAACCGTGGTGATGAGCACTTACTAATGGAACTATTGAATTGTTAGGGTGTACATCTGAAACTAATGTAACACTGCACATTAATTACATTGGAATTAAAAACAGAAAATGAGGGGCGCCTGGGTGGATCAGTCATTAAGTGTCTGCCTTCTGCTCGGGTTGTGATCCCAGAGTCCTGGGATCCAGCCCCACTTGGGGCTCGCCGCTTGCCAGGAATCTTGCCTCTTCTCTCCCTCTCCCACTCTTGCTTGTGTTCCCTCTCTCTCTATGTCTCTCTCTGTCAAATAAATAATTTTTTTTTTTTTTAAAGGAAACTAGGGGCGCCTGGGTGGCTCAGTGGGTTAAAGCCTCTGCCTTCAGCTCAGGTCATGATCTCAGGGTCCTGGGATCGAGCCCCGAGTCGGGCTCTCTGCTCGGTGGGGAGCCTGCTTCCTCCTCTCTCTCTGCCTGCCTCTCTGCCTACTTGTGATCTCCATCTGTCGATTAAATAAATAAAATCTTAAAAAAAAAATAAAAAGGAAACTAATCCCTTATCATATATGGTTTGCAATATTTTTTTAAAGAAAGAAAGTTTTACTAATTTTGTAGGTGCAATAAGTTATTACATACATCTTTTAAAAAAAGTCTTTTATAGATATGTATTGAAATAGTCATAGATAAAAATATATGATATCTAAAATTTACTTCAGGATGATCTGGGGATAAGTGAAAAAGTGGTTAGAGATGGTATAGCTGAAACAAGATGGGTCATGACTTGACCATTGCTTGGATTAGGTGATAGGTACATGGTGTTCATTTTGTCATTCTTTTTAATTTGTATATATTTGGAATTTTCCATAATGAAGTTAAAAAAAAAAGGGTCGCCTGGATAGCTCAGTGGTTAAGGGTCTGCCTTCGGCTGGTGAT